AGAAAAGCAAATATTTCTTTAAAATAGTTAAATGTTATAAACTTCTACATTTTGTTCATGAAATTTAATTATTGTTTTTATTACATTGTTGTACTTGTTATCTTCGTTTGTTTTCCTGTTACAGTTTTGCACATCATTACACATTGTGAATGAATGCATGGTTATTGGATTTTGCATGACTTAAAATTTGTTTAATAAAGTAACCTTACATATATATTTAAACAAAAAATAATTTCGTTCAGCATTTCTATAGAATAGGTCAAATTATTTCTTTTGTAAATGTTTGAAATACAGTTTTAGAATTGTCAAGTGTTATTTTTATGTTGTTCTTGTGGAATTTTTATATTTAAAAAAAAACTTGTACAGTCGACTCTCAATAACTCGAATGTTTTTTTCAAATCCCCTCGTTTTCCTATAGTGTTTGCCCTCATTTTTACCTCTATAAGTCGAACGTTTTGAAATGAAAACTTCAATTAGATGAATTTTCTTTGTAAAGCCAGGTGACCAGTGGCATTTCTTTATTTGATCGGCTCCTCTCTCTTGCTCTCTTCACTTTTTTCAGTTCGTTTTTGTTTACGTGTTTGTTCATTTGTATACAAAAAATGTGGAGGAGAGAAACGAGATTATTAAGGCAGTAGATGAAGGCATTAAGAAAAAGGGCAACATCGCCAAAGAATTCAGCACACTGCCAAAAACCTTATTCACAATTTTAAAAAATAGGTATAAGTATGACTGCGATTAACTGGCTCTATACCTCGAACCTCAATTAGTCGAAAAACTCAAATTTTTAAATTTCCCCCTGAGGTTCAATTTATCGAGAGTCGACTGTATTAAAATTAATTATATTTTTTAGACTTTTATACACATATCATTTTGACTTTAATTGTTGATAGTTAATATTGATTTAAATTTACCCAAGCTCTTAAGACATTTCTTTTATTTAAGATTAAAAAAAAATAACATTTGTTATTTATAATTAATTCTTGATCACTTTTGAAGTTTATGTGCCACCTTTATAAATCCACCTGGTGAACATACAGTCATAATTTCAAAATTTCAATCATTATCTAAGAATATATAGTTGACAGCCCAACAATCAATGTTGAGAGTAAGAAATAGGTGACAGGCCAATTTTTGGGTCTGAATGGTTATTTCAGACAATGGGATCCAACAAAAACTGGCAGACAGTCCCAATGCTGGATATGACACCTATTTTAGACATTTGAATCCAACAGTCAGAAATGAATGGCAGGCTTACTTTTGGATCTGACAAAAATTTCAGACAATTGAATCCAACAATGGGAAATGGATGACAGGCCACCTTTTGGATCTGGCAATCATTTCAGACAATCAGATCCAATTAAAAATGACAGCAGTCCCACTGCTAGATCTGACATGTCAGACAGTTGAATCCAGTAGTCAGAAATGAATGACAGGCAAACTTTTGGAGCTGATCATTATTTCAAACCATCAGATGTGATAAAAAGTGACTGACAGTCCCACACCATCCACAACTGGCGGATCTGACAATTTCAGAAAATCTAGCCTGATTTCTCACTGATGTGCAACTGTCTGACTGCCAAAAGTGTTTGGCTACCCTAGGAGACAAAATAACACGGGAATTTCAGCATTATAATTTCCTTAGTCAAAATTATTTATTTACTGTCCATCGATTTCACTTTAAAAAAAAGTAAAATTTCAGAAAATAATTATTTTATCAGTTGCACTCATTCCCCCTTCCCCCAAAGCACTTCATATACACAGAAAAATAAGGCACATTAATCACACAAAAACACTTTAAATTAAATCAAAAGAAAAGCACATTTTTAAATCTCACCATTGAGTACAAAGTCAATGAAAGCACTGAAGAGCTTGGGTAATTAATTAGCTTGTAATTTTACTTGATTTCTTTATTTTGACAAGGTGGAAACAACGAGGGAGAAAATAATTTCTTTGGAGCTTTCAACACCCACTTGTGTCGAGGCTGAGGGCAATCAACTAGAGGAAGAAGAAGGAGATGAAGAAGTAACAACCCCGACTGCAGAAGACCATTCAACAGTGTCCACAAAAAAGAAAAGGAAGAAGAAATCAAAAAAGGGCAAGCATTAAGTGAACTTTTTAAAAATCATGTCTTTTTTATTTTAATTTTTTTTAAAGAACTGTGGAAAGTTATTTTTATACGAGTTATTTTTTTTATGATGTTTTAAGTACAAGAAAACGTTCCAATATAGTTACAATTAATTGTATTCAATGTATATAAAGTACAATATATAGACAATATGTTTAAACAAAAGTTTAAAACATGTTGTAGGGAATATCACTTTAGGAAAATTATTTTTATTTAAATTAACCTGAGATGTTTCTTTTCTATGTAAATAAAGTTTTTGTTTTTTTATGTCACACTTACATGCAGTTAACTGCAAAAAGGAAAACAATGAGCCAGTTCTTTTTGGGACAAAATTTCAGAAATATGCATTTTTAAATCTTGTACAAATAAACATTTGCTCATGTAATATCCGTTCCTAAAATTAAGATGGTTTCTATTCCACTTTTATTAAAACCTTTTGTAAATATATTTTTATATAACTCAGTTTAATTGGCTTCAGAGTAACATTCTGTAAACTTAAATTAACCAACTTGATTTTACTGGCAGTTACAATGTCTAGTTATTTACAGTTAAAATGGACATTTTTTTTTATTTAATTCAGACTTGGAGTGCCTTACATACTATATCCATAATTTTTATTTCTCTTGTCTTTACAATAATTACTTTTGCATTGTAAAATTTTGTGTACCTATATTTATCTTTGTCTAAATAGCATGTCTTTTCTTTTTAATAAAATGTTCTCTTTAAATTAAATAAAAATATATGTGTATTGTTTAAAAAATATCTATTATTTATTAATTACGACGTTTGTAAATTAATTATGCACTCTATTCCAAATTGTTTCTTTTGGTTTTTTTTGTTGTATACCATTAGAAATGAAAATATTTCAGTATTACCAATTTTTTCAATTTTTTCTTTCGCTTGTTTCTTTAGTACAAAAGAATTTAATTAAAACAAAACATCTTGATATATATAATTTATAATAACATTATACATGTTGCAAATAAAATGAGTCTAAACTATTTAATTGTGGGTGTTTTTATAGTTGCTTATATAAAATCCAAATTATCTCTTATCCAAATTAAACCTAGACTTCAAGACACTTGTTTTTTGTTTTGTTTTTTAAACTTTTTCGAGTGTAAGAATAATAACATAAAATTCTGAAAGTATATGTCTTCAATTTTAACAAATAAAGAAAATCATCCCTGACCACCAATTTGGATTCCGAACGAGACATTCAAAAATAGACCAATTTACTGGATGGAATGAAAAATCACTCGAAGAAAAAAAGATTTGTTCTGCTATCTTCCTCGATATCTCACAACCTTTTGACAAGGTCTGGCATGAAGGACTCATCAGCAAACTAAAAGGGATGCTACCAAAATAGTATGTAGATATTAGTTACTAATAGACATTTTAGAGTAAAGCAAGAAGAATCTTCAGAATTAAAAACAATAAATACAGGAGTGCCACAAGGTAGCATATTAGGTTTACTCCTTTATTTGTTATACACCAGTGATTTTCCGACAATAGATAGAATAAAAATTGCAATGTTTGCAGATGACGCAGTGGTGATATCAGTAGGGTCGACCATCAGCCATTCATACAAAATCCGTACAAATCCAAAAAGCATACGAGATGAACGGACAAAAAATTGGAGAATCAGGCTCAATCAGCATAAATCTATACATATAAATTTTCCAAACAAAATAGTGGATCTTGTTCTGCATCTCACAATCGATGGACCTATTATATTATACAACAATATAGCTAAACGATGAGGGAATGATCTTAGATGCCAAGTTGAGATGGAAAGAGCACGTGAAGAAAAAAGGACATAAAATAGGTAAGAAAAGGTAAATTTAAGGATCATGTGCATAATGTTTAGTATTTTGTGGATTTTGGGAAGTCATTAACGTAACAACAAAATAGAGAAGCAGAGTTTATTGTGCCTTGGGGTCTTAAGAGGTGATGGATTTGGGCTAAAGACAACCTGGGAATGGTCTAAAAGGAAAGAGTGGAACCAGCAGAGAGATAGTTTGAAGATAATGCACATTTTGAAAAGTGGCTATACTCATCAACTGTCAACCGAACTAGGTTTGTCACCGACAAGTTTGAATCAACACGGTCTGACTACTGTTGGTTTATTCGTTTCACTGTTAAGAATTATTTCCTCACTGAAGATGGCACAAGTGAAATGATAATCAGCAAGAGTAGATGGATCCAGTAAAGTGATCAAATTCTATTCATTTCAAAATGTATTCACTGACTCGTAGATCAAAACAGCCAAAGTCAAATGTAGGTACCCCGCCCAAGCTCAATTTGTTAACTGAGCGTCCAATCATAAAAGTTCAATAAGCTCCCCACACATTATAATTATTAATTACTTATTACTTTAGTTAATTTTTTCAGATAAAACTAAAATTTAGATATTTAAATTAAGACATTACAATTAATTAAGGTTTTTAGTTGAGATGAAAAGAATTTAATGGCACGAGTAAGTGCACGAGCACGGGTTAAGATGGGAAGTTGATGTCCGAGTGGATCGAGGTCACGATAGTTCAAGTGGTAGAGCAGCGGCGTATCTAGCCGAAGATTGTGGGTTCGAATCCCACTCGTGTTATTAACTTTTTTTCATCTCAACTAAAAACCATAATTAATTGTAATGTATTAATTGGTCAAGCGGACCACGAAATTAGTGAATTTAAATTAAGATTTAGATTTTTTTTGTTGCAGATGCATATGATATATGTAGTTCTGTCCTGCTTCTTCAGACACAGACATTTGTGTTCTCTTGATTAGACTGTATGAATATAAAGGGGTTAAATAAACCGTTGTAGTCTGTTATAATAATATGTTAAAGTAATCTGTTGGATTTTCAGTACACTTAGTAAAGGGTCAGTATTTCATTTGTAATTCTCACCAGTTTTTTTTATAGTTAAAATCCAAAATCTCCCTGATGCATATACTATTTGTTCATCTGTGTTATATCATCCACACTGTCAATTTTTTTGGCCGACTCTTTCGGCGTTTTCATTTTTATCAACAAATCCTTCTCAAAGAGTTTCTTAAGTTTTTCATTCATTTTTTTCATCCGCAAGACCTTGCAAGTTTTAATTTTCATCCTCCTAATCCTCTTTTCCTTGCGCCGCATCTCTTCGTGAGCTATCTTAAGAGCCTTCTCTTCCGGAACTGGTATTTTGTGAACTTTAAGCCTTTTCACAACTTCTTCCTCCTCGTCTTCACTCCCTTGTGGCACTGGTTTCGATACAACAGCGATAAGTTTCTGAAATAATATTTTTATTTTTTTAAATTATGGTTTTGTCGATATTACACTAAGTACCTTCAATTGGAGCATTGTTCTAATGTGTGCCTTAACGAGGTCTTTGTGTGATTCGTTTTCTACATGGCGTTTTTCTGCTATTCGTCTTTGTGTTATGTCGTACAACATATTCAGAGCGTCAATATCATCTTTTATTTTCTGTATATCCTTTTCAAGTGATTGTTTCTCTTCTTCTAAAGGAATAAGACTTTCTTCTAACTAAATCGCAATGCCCAAGTTATATACATACAGAAATATATATGTTTGTCATAATTTTTACTCACTGGTGTAATTTTTTTATCACAATAAACGAGAAGATCATCGAACATGAGCTTGTAAGACGTGAATGTCATTTTAAGTTCATCCCTTACCCTCAGCAGTATCAGACCTCGCTCGGCACAACTTATTGTTACTTGTCGGATTATTTCATCTGTAAATGTGGACTTTAATGTTAAATTTAATATTTAAAAAAAAAAAACTTCAATTATAGTACCAAACGCTTGTTGGAAAATTATTATTCTTCGCGGGCAGATACCGAAATCCCTGGCGCCTGTTTCAACAAGTAAATTGTCAACCTTTTCTCTGAGAAGTTGAATTTGACAGCGGTGAGTTGGCTGTGGGGACACCTGCAAAACAGCATTACAACAACGCCGTAAGTGATTACATTCGTCATACTTGCTGCATCCATGTTGTTCCATCTTTATCAGTCCACATTCTGGGCGGTGATATAAGGTCCAATACACATTGCCTCTCATCACTTGTGTCCGCCAACAGGCTGCTTGATTTCTTAAATTCTTTTTTAAGTTTTGGAAGTGGCTGGAAGGGGAAAAAATGCAATGAATTTAAAATGGCAACAATATTCTGAAATAAAAAATGCCTGGTTGACAATTACCAAATAACAAGACAAAAATAATACTTTTCAAATATTCTTTATTACAGTCTTTATTCTTCATTTAAGGCAATGTTATAGTAACTAAATTTACTGAATTGAACTTTATATAAATTAAATTGTGAAAAAAAGTAAAAATAAATAAAGTAATTACTGTTAATGTCTAACTTACTGGCAAACCACTTACAATACTTTTTAAAATTAATTAAGGTTTTTAGTTGAGATAAAAAAGTCAATGGCACAAGCGGGATTCGAACCCACGATCTTCGGCTTGATACGCCGCTGCTCTACTACTTGAGCTATCGTGACCTTGATCCACTCGGACACCAACTTCCCATCTCAACCGCACCTTTTGAATTTTCCCTCCTTTTTGCCATTTTTCAATATACTTTTTAAATATTATTTTCAGTTAAAAAGCCTTGTTCTATGTGAGGATTTGAACCCAGAACCATTAGCATGGCAGATAAGAGTCAGTTCAACTGTGGTAAGTTTTGCATGGTGATAAACCTGCAATTTGCCTCAAATCAATCTGGTCTGCCTACTCTCTAGCCATCTTCAGTAAATGCAGCATGTTGAGGCCATTTTTACAAATTTAGCCGAATTAGAATTATGTGGAAATTATATAGAGAAATCTCATCCTGCTTATAACTCTGATCAACGACTGAAGATTGTAAAATTTCTTAAACAAATTGTGACAGACTAAATCAGCAATAATAAGCAGGTCAAAATGATAATTTTCTATGAGTTGTTGAACTAGCCATCTTCAGTAGAGAGTCAGGGTTATAAGCATGTTGAGGCCATTTATACAAATTTAGCCAGTGTCAAATGAGAATTATATGGAAATTATGTAGTGAAATCTCATCCTGCTTATAACTCTGATCAACGACTGAAGATTGTAAAATTTCTTAAACGAATCGTGACAGACCAAATCAGCAATAATAAGCAGGTCAGGATGATAATTTTCTACCAGTTGAACTATTAAACTTTAAGATGTGAATAAAAAAAGCAAAATATTATTTTTATCTAATTAATTGTTAGTTCAATATCATTATTGCTTGCTTCTTAATAGTTAACTTCAGATCATAAATTTATTTCTGTTACCTGTTAAACTTCAAAAACACTTGTTTATTGTAAGAATAAATAATTACAAACGAATAATGTGTTACCTTCACAGGAGGCATTTTGGCGTTAACATTCTTGATGATGAAGGGGTTTGTGAATTTTAGAAGGGTTTCACCTGGATTGACTTCGGTTTTGAGCCAAGATTCACGATTTGGCGTCAGTTCATCAAGATCAATCATTCCTGCATACATTTTGGCGGGTGTTTTTTTATCTCTCTCTCTTCTGTAAGATCAAATAAACTAGGTACTTATTGTGCAAAACAAAATGTTAAAATAAAAAAAAGACAATATTATAAGTTAAAAAAATAAAAACAATTTCAATACTTGTTCTGTTTTATTTGTTTTTATTAAATAAATCACAGTAAAAACATCTGAATTTCCAAACTTTTTTACTAGAATTTTTAAAGTTTATTCGTCAGAATCTTTCTTATGTGAATGCGCTGAGTTTAAGCCAAGCTTTAATTGAGAAGTCTCTGGAGTGCTCTGACTAGGGCTGATCTCTGAAGGTCTTTTGTCAGTCTTTGTGACAGGTATAAGAAATCTTTTTGGCTGCATTATAGCGTTAATTTGTGCCTGAACAAAAAACAAAATTTCAGTGGAAAATCCAAGCTTTGTATTATTTTAGTTTTACCTTGATTGAATTGTTGAGATTTACATAAAAATCTATTTTTTCTTTGTACTTTGTGCTGAGGTGACTGCCAATCTCCTCGTACCTTTTCTCCGACATTTGAACGGCATCTTCCATGGCCCTGATCTCTTTCATTAACCTGTTATGCTGTAAAGTTTCATCCGCTGCGGCTTTCTCAATAGAAGCAAGATCTTGTTTGACCTGTAAATCGATTATACAATCATTTTACCTGGATAAACTTTTCTTTTGAGATATTTTAAAATCTTACCTCAACTGACTTTTTAATTCCATAGAGAACACTATTTTCATACATTGCGTTGTAAGCTGATTCCCATAGTTTAAATTCATTTCTTATTTTTAACAGAAAAAGCCCTCGTTCAGGACATACAATAACTTCTTGGCGGATCATTTCATCTAAAAATAAAACAAAAAATAAACAAATAAAATATAAGAACTTTGTATAAAACTGGATTACCGAAAAGTTCTTTAAAAATAGCCCTTCGGACTGGACAGTAACGCTCAAAGTTGACATTTCGCTCGCGTAGCTGGTTTTCGAGTTGATTTGTTAATCTGATGACATCAGAGCGACTGACATGTTCTCCAGATACCTTTAATACAATTTTAATTTCAAATCGTATCTTTTGCCCTTAAAGCATGTACAAACATACTGATTGTAACCAATGGTTTCCATATTTGTCAACCCAACTTTTAGGATGAAATATGCTATCTAGTATGTCCCTTATTGTAACTTCTTTCTCTTCTTCTTCATCATCTTTTTCAACTACACTATCTTGTTGTAAGCAGTCATGGTCCTGCAACACTTCAGCATGGTACACTTGAATTAAAAAAACACCCAATATTTGTTTACCCTTGTTTCAGGAACTGGAGGTGGTGGGACTTTGCAAGGTTTACCGTATTTAAGAAGGGATGTTGTCGACGGTAATAATCTATGGGGTTCATACAATCTCTCTTCCATTGTTACGTATAAACAGACACCTCAAATAAAAAGTGTACTACATGTGATTGCACATGACAATAAAGATCAAATAAAATGCTCATTTCCTTTTCTTTATATTTTACTCTCTTTACTCTTACCCATTTGACAAAAATAAGTCAACTGAATGTTATTAAATAAAATTTAATAAAGCAAAACATTCTTTTTTCATTTTTCTATTCCACTGCAACCCTAAAACTGAAATAAAAATGTTAAAAAACAATAACTGCCTGCAATAATGAATAATAATAAAACACTAGTATTTCTGGATTTGATAATTTCAAAACTTTGGAGATTTCTTTTTTGGATATTTAATGTAAGCCAATAATGGAATTAGGAAAACCACTATATTTTAAATAAAATTTTGCCAATATGGTCAAATATAGTTTTCATTATTATAGTAACTTTGCCTGAAAATAATCTTGTTTACTTAGTTTTCTCAATAATAGTTAATGGGGTAAAGAAAAAATGAAACTTTGCTTTCTGATATTTAATGCTGTTCAAACATGATGTACACATAAAAGAAAATACTAATATCATATGTTATAAGGTTTCTTTTTAATTTAGAAAAACTTTGTTTTAGAAGACATTACAGTTGGTTTGATTTGAATACATACAGTAGAAATATTATCTAACATGAGACATGTATGAAGGTGCACCCCAATGGCTACCCTTCACCAGAATTTATAATTTAATAAATAACAAATCTAAATTGTTTAAATAACATAAACACACAACATGGGAATAAATTTGGAGTAATTCCATCCAGGGATGACTGACCAGGGAGTTCTTTCCATCGTCTACTGTCACTTACCACCCTCATGTACTACAGGCTGACACAACTTCTAATAGGACATGGAAGAATGGTGGAATATCTCTTTCGCTTTCGGACCATCTTCTCCTGGAGTGCGACAGCATCACGGCTGCCTTTTTTTTTTTTAAATGCAGGGCCGCTGGATTCGAACCCGGGAGCTTTACCTTACAGTGATGAGCACCGTGTCAACGCCTAAACTGTTGCGGCCACCCACGCCCCACCAGGCTTCTGTTGTTGCAGCACATGTTGACCAGGGGCATACTTTGGCCACCCTAAAATTATGCTTTTTGGAAACTGAAGTGCTGCCATATTTCATGATATTGTTGTCAGAATAATTGCATTCTTGTAAAATTAATACTATTCATTATTATAAATAATATTTAAGAGTTAAAAATTATTGTTATATTATTAAAGTTATTTTATTACTATTATCAATTAGTTAGGAGTTATTATAATATATTAAGCATAAATGAAAAAAGTCTGTAATATGTATGTTTGTAAATTGCATGTTTTATAATATGTGATTATGTTAGTTTTATTATATTTAATTTATGTAATACCTAATGTAGTTGGATATGATTTTGCTTTGTTAAATGACAGTGTTTGGTTGTTGAAGGGTCGAGAGGATTTTTGATATCAAATGATTGCAGTGGTCAATCATGTTCTCATATAATCTACTGTAACGATTGAGTGATCGCAGTCGTAACCATCATGATTTGGAGATCTTTATGAAGAATAGTTTTGTACCATGGTGATCTTGTAATCTGTAACACTCGGTTTTGAGTAACTTGTTTATATGTGTTACAGCCAAATAACCACACAGACTGCAGGAGTATGCCCATATTGGTCTTTTGAGTAATAGATAAAGTAGAGCCGCTTTGAGTCAATATACAATGGAGATGCCTAAAAGTTGTTTTATTGCTCGAATCCTCTGTTTTGTTACTAGATATGGAATGTGGTCCTGCAAATTTGGAATAGATGTAGTCCAAGATATCAGACTACAGTTCCGATAGGGATAACCTCATTATTTAGGCATATTTGTCCAGCAAAGTTCTAGCAAGTTCAGCAATGATTTTGAAGGTTTCATTTTTAGTTTCCATCTCATTGACCATTAGCCAACTTTGTCTGAGTTTGATGCATTTCCTGCATTTTTTCAAACGAAGTATCTGACTAAGTATAATGGGTAAATTGAGCAGTGATTATATCTTCAGATGATGGTGAATTATGTATATAATAGATACAGAAATGGTCTAAGAACACTGCCTTGGGGTACTCCAGCTTTCATAATTGGTATCTCGATAGGGTTGGCCACATTTAAAAGAAAATGTTTTCCCTTGCAAATATGACATTAGTTTATATAGTGTATCAGGTAAATGAGGTTTAATTTTTTTTTATCTAGGAGCTCTTTATGCTGTACCGTACTGTCTTTTAAAGGCTTTCTTAGGTAATCAACTCCAAACAACCTGTAATTTTAGGGTGAGCTCTAAAACAGTCATCAGAAAGTTTCGTGAGAATAGCTTCAGATGTCATGCGACAAATTTTTTACTGCTGGAGAGACATCAAGTTCAGAATCATTCGGAAATCAGCTTCTCACTTGGACATTTGAACAATGGGGGCTGCCCTCTTCACAGATGAGTGCCGGTTTGTGGCAATCAGATGACTGTTTGTGTGCCTGATGTGGAGAAGGCTTGAAGAATGCTTCGCTTCATGTGTGAGTCAGCCTTTTCAAAGACAGTTTTGGTTTGGGGTAGAATCAACGTCCATTCCCGAACCAAACTGATTTTCATACAGAATGGATATTTGCCTGCACTGAGGTACATTGAGTAAGTTCTTCCAGAAGCTGTGGGGGTCAAGTTCGTGTTATTATTAAACTGCTACTTTTATTAAAAGATACTTGAAACACATGAAAAAAAAAAACAGTTTTGAACTCTATTCATACATTATTTATTTATTTTATAATTGTATTTACAATTTCCTATTATTTCTTTTTTTTATGTAGGTAGAAATTTCAACAAAACTGGCAGTACAACCCTAAACTGTGATTATTGAACTGTACAATTAAAAAGTTTCTAACTCACAATTTTTTAAATTTGTTTTCAGCTTGAGCATAAGGAAGACAAAGCTTGTGTCGAATGCTAAAAAAATTGAAATGCAAATAAGATTTTTTGGAATGCACAAATTTGTAAAAATATATTCACATCATCGAGTTTGTTTTAGTGTCAACTCAAGTAATAGTTGCTATAATAAAAGTTTACAATGGGACAATATTCCAATACAAATTCAAACATGATTAGGTAATTTTTCGATTACAATTTAAAACAAATTTGATTTTTATTACAATAAATATATAATTTTTATAATTTCTTTCTACATTTTGTTAATTTTTATAAACTGGCCATCGTGCCTTCCCTGAGCTAAATCTGCAATTGCGTCAGAAGCAATGTTTCATTCACTTGGACTTTAACAACACTCATCTCAAGCAACACATCGTTTTGAAAATAAAATTAAAAAACTCTACAAAGCCAAAATAATATGAACATATTTGCTTAAATTATTTTACATTTTGATTACACAATTTTCTATAATACAGCAATATAATCTGTACACTTTTTTTCTAATAAATATATTTTTTCTTCTATTTTTTGTTTCTTTACAGGGTATTATTTAGTTTTCACAGCTTATTTCTTAAGCCTAACATTAAACACCTTTTCTAATCTTAAACAGTAATTAATTATTGGTAATTTACACAGACAACACAAATGGCACTCAATATTGATTAGAGGGAAGAAAGGTCATACCCAACTTAAAATTATCACAATAGATAATATTTGAGAAAAAAAATACTACTTTAAATTGTAATAATTGTATAACAAAAACCACATATACTTAATGAATAGTATCTCTTTATAAAAATAAACAAATAACTAGGCATTTTTGATGAAGTTATCAGGTACTTTGTTATACCATTGTAACAACCTACAATGAACAAGTGATTTAATAAATATAAAAAAAAAACTATATGTATACAATATGTACAAAACTAAAAAAGAATATTATAAAATCAAATTTTACAAGTTTGAAATGAACACTGTAAAAAATAGGCCTCTTCTAGGCTCATGGATAAAATATATTCAGTAAAAACTCCAGCGTAAACTATATGTGACCAGGATAAACAAAAGGTAACAAACCCTGGAAACATAGCGTCACAACTTTGTACATATAATTACAGGTTGATGGTTTTGTTTTCTTTTTAATAAACTATGTCATGGGTTCCATTTCAATATATAACAGATAAGGAGAGGGCTTCAGACAGACTTAAAATATATGTGGATCTGGAGCGAAGTTTCTGTCCCAGTAACCACCGGTGTAAAGCCAATCTTCTTGTCCTGTGTAAGGATTAGTACCCTGGCAAAACCATCTAAAAATGAACGCACGGGTTAAAATGTTACGCGAATTGAAAGTTGAGAAGGCAAAGTGCAAACTTACCTAGGCTTCCATTCATTTCCTTTTTTCGCTTTTCTAGCTTTTCTTTGTTTCTCTTCTAATCTTGTTTTCTCCGCTGCTGCACCATCCAAGTCACCATTTTCTAATTTACGGATATCTGGTCTAAGCCTTATAGGAACAAAAATTAATTTTAAAAAATCCTAGAACACTGTAATTATGGGGTAAAAAATAAATACCTGCAATCTGTTGGACAGAGTTTCTTTTCCATACCAGGTTCTAATTCATTTAATGACATAGCAAAAAGAGTGAACTGGTAGAACTAGAAAACAAACAAAATTTTTATTTTTTAATTTGACAATTAGAGCAAAATTTTTTTAAAAATTAATTAAGGTTTTTAGTTAAGATAAAAAGGCAATGGCACGAGCGGGATTCGAACCCACAACCCTTGGCTAGATACGCCGCTGCTCTTCCACTTGAGCTATCGTGACCTCGATCCGCTCAGACATCAACTTCCCATCTCAACCGCACCTTTTGAATTTTCCGTCCTTTTTGCCATTTTTCAAATGTCGTGATCAGATTGAATTCTCCGGATTCTGGCCGAGAATCCAATCTGATAACGTGACATTTGAAAAATGGCAAAAAGGAGGGAAAATTCAAAAGGTGCGGTTGAGATGGGAAGTTGATGTCTGAGCGGATCGAGGTCACGATTGCTCAAGTGGTAGAGCAGCGGCGTATCTAGCCAAGGGTCGTGGGTTCGAATCCCGCTCGTGCCATTGACTTTTTTATCTCATCTAAAAACCTTAATTAATTGTAATATATTAATTGGTCAAGCGGACCACAAAATTAGTGAATTTAAAAAAAAAGAAGCTTACTTCCGAACAATTGGCAGGCCTGGGAGTCGCTTCCCATAATGTACTAGAATTGGGTATGTCAATGGAATACGTTGAATCACATTTCGGTATATCCCCTCCTTCTGCAGCTTCTTCTGGTGGTCCTTCATCAGACTATAAATTTTTATAATGATTAAGCGAAGTGTAATTGTAAAACCTTATATTTCTTTAATATGTTTGTTACGGCATGATTTGTAATAAAAGTCCCAAAATATATAATTTCTAAGGCATTGCAAGTAGGTTTGTGTCATTCTAGAATGACATCCGTAACAAGTGTTAGCCTGGGTGTTATTAATTAGAGAAAAAAGTACGGAATATCTTCTAGTTTTTATGTATTCCAAGCAAATTTAATTATTACATAGAAATCGCATATTTTTGTTATCAATGATGATTTACATTTGTCTATCTTTGTAGCTTTATTACTATACATGTTTTTCTACAACGGTTCAGGGAAATAGCTTGCAAATTGAAACTCACCTCTACGATTGAGTTTTGCGACTTGAATGGTCCGACTTTGAGGCTGTTGAGTTTTGCGAGTACTTTCTTTGGTGTGTGCGCTGGGCTGTCCGAGTTGCTTTGAGGTCCTTTGGATTCCGAAGACCTATCATAACGCAACCAGATGGAAAATTGGTCACTTGCGTGATGAAGGGGGGAAGAAGAAAAAAATTAAAATAATTCATAACAAAACCAAACATGAAATAAATAAAAATAAAGTATCGCTTAAATGAAAACAACTAAAATCAAAGCAGTAAAATAAATAAATAATAGGAAAAATGTTGAAATGGAGGTAGGACAAGTTAATCAATGAAAACATGGAAGGAGTTGAAAAATCATCATAATCAAACAAACATGTATTTAAAATCACACCTTATAATATGGCAAGTAAAAAAAAGAAAAAAAAATATATATATAATTACAACAAATTACTTTAAGTTGTGGAAATTAGCACATCATACTCGATAGTTAATAATTAGTATGTGTCTGGGCACTCAGAGAAAGGTTGCTTGATGTATCCCACTAAATTGAAGGGTGCAATTTCTTGGCTCCATATAGAAAGTGGGTAGGAATGCCACCCAATTTGAGAATTGTGCTTGAGCACGGTAGCGATAATCTGGGTCCCCATTCCAATTTTTAGAGGGTACAGTACTCTTTACTATATATAGTACTTTATAAATATGTCAAATATATTTATTGTAAACAATTTTTTTTTTAATTTTAACCTTACTCCCTCAAACAATGAAAAAACAACTGATTGTTTATGTTGCTGCATCATAAAAGAAAATTAGAAAAGCAAAATAATAACCGTTTTCACGTATGTACTTGTCATAGGAGAATTTTTTTTTTACAGGGTGGGTATAGTGTGCCCAGTTTAAGACAGGGGAACTCATAAGAAAGCTGGGCCCTGATGGCGAAGGTATGCTCGGGTGGTTCTAGAATCGGAGGATAGCGTATTGAGAAGAAAGCAAGGACCCAGCCGGAGTGCTCGAAAGAAGAGGGGCTGGCCAGCAAGGACAGGCATAGAGAGGTCCCATAAGACAGAGGGATGATGAGAGCATGCGAGAGAAAAAAATTGTTTTCTGGACTTTTTTGCGGTTTCTTATTGGGTTCTGGGATTCCAGAGGACCTTGAGGGAGTTAGAAGAAATCAGATGGAAACTGGAGAGATCGCTGAGGAGCTCAAGAGGATCCCGAGCATCGAGTCTGTGATGGGGAAAATCAGGCTAGATTTTATTTAGTTCTTATAAGTGAAGATTTGTTTCTTTTAGTAAGAAACATGCTTTTTTTAAAATTCATGTTATTTGGCCAACAGGGATTTAAGTTTTGAATGAGTGTTAAGTTTCCTTTTGTCATCAACTCAAGTTCTGTTTATTTATTTAATTTGTCTTTTGAAGTTCAGTCAAGCCTTATTATTTTGTTTTTGTCTATCAGACAGGTTATTTATTCCCTAGTGGGGAGGGATAGTGTTAAAAAATTATTGGTACTGCTGTCCGAACTTCTCCATCGAGCTACCGGCACTCAAACTTATGTTGGCTACTATGGACCATTTGACACAATAAAAAAACAAAATGGATTTTATGATAATTCTGACAAGGTGCTGTGGTAGTTGGACTTGGAAATTGCCTGAGGACTGTCAATTCCACTCAGAAATGTTAATTTAGACGAAACATAAATTGCGTTTTATCATTACTATTAATTATTCCTCATTTGCAGAGTTTATCCCCATTTTCAGGTCTTCTGTGATGAATGCATACTTCAAATTTGCACTTTCAGAGGCTCTAAATATTCTCTAATAATGTGTAATAATAAACACTAAGTTTTAAATAAAAAAATGATCATTTTTGACACTCTAATAAATTGTTCATAATTAAAAAAAAAGAACAGAAAGATCTACTAGTCAGGCAACATGTCCAAGAATTTAACAAAAAAATTAAATAAATAATGTAAGGTTAATCAAAAATAAGTCTTAATAATTCCACATTTTAAATACAACTTGAAAAGAAAAAGTAAATTTACCTAAATTTGTGGGCATTCTCCTTTAAATAGTCTTCGTATGATGATATGTCAGTACAACGTATAAAATCTGTCCATTTACCATAGAGAAAATTGAGCTTCTTTTTACTGAAAATAAAAACAAAATTCCTGTAATAAATGTAGCACTAAATAAACCGTAAAATTTACTGTTTATCCGTGATGAATCCTTCAACCCTGTGAAGGTCTTTAGAAAACCAACCTGCGGGCTTGAACGACAGTACACCCTTATGTCCTAAAAATAAATTTTAAATTATATTATGACACAGCATGTTATGGACTTTTGATTTTTATCATACCGGTACTTGTATTTACAATTTCCATGGTCCCGTACTGTTCTATCCACAATTTTCCAACCACAATATTGTGCACGCAGCAATTTACGTTGGACCATGTGTAGGCTTCACCCCATCTAAAATAGCATGTACATTACATATTTCAACTATGGTAAAAAAAAAGAAGTTAATTGTAAATGCAGACGTAGAAAAACAAAAAATGTGTACAGATTGTTACCAGAGGTTTAACAAATACATTTGCACATTCACATGTTCCACTTGTATAACAATTGGTCACTAGACAATGAAACTTGCTTACTTGGGAAGTTCAACCGTCACGATTCCCTTTGGTTGAATCTCAACACTTTTACCCCAAAATTTGAGCTTTGGATGTATTGAACCATGGAAAATAAAGTGCTCGCTATCTGCATGGAACGCTGATATTGGAGGGTGATGGCTTACCTGCTCACAAATAACTCTTAACAGAAAAAATACATATACAAATTGTTAAAAAGAGTTTACACATATTGCAAAAAAATGGTAATATGGTATCACCTGTATTCTTTTCTTTCTAACTCGTACGTTTCTCCAAGAAGAGGATTAAATGGTTTACCAAGCCGGTCCCAATTAGATGCTAAAGCACTCACAGCAAAAGCACAGATGTACTAAAACAAAAATGAAAAACAAAAATAAATAATGTACATTTTCATTGTCAATTGATTGCTTCTATAGAAATAGAAATTTGAAAGAAAAAGACAAAAAGGAAAGATTTTTTAACACTCAATGGTTATGTCTGCATTATAACAAATGGTGAAAAACTAATTAAATAATTAATTGACCTAAGATAGTAATAAAATACTTTATTACTATCAAATAATGGCTAAAGGTTTATATTCTTGTAAGTTAAAATAAAAGTAAGTAAAGTAAAGTAATTCCTGTCATTCAGGAGAGGTTAACGTCCAACTATTCATTGGGTGTCGTGGACAAAGGTCAAACTACTTTAAAATTCTTTCTTACTTTCTCAATTAAAAACTATTGGGTTGTGCTGAGATTTGAACCCAGGACTGCTAGCATGTCAAATAGGGGAATATAAGGCTATAAAAAATACTCTACAAAGAATATTAATTTTAATTAATTACACTTTTATCTAATGTCTTGGATGTGATGAAAAAGTTAGTCACAGACGGGATTCAAACCCATGACCTGCTCAATAAGCTGGTTCTCTAACCACTTAAGCTATCATAATAAGGATTCAATTCTCGGCAACAAATGAAGTAGCCAAGGGGAGCTGATAGCGAAGTAATTACTCCTGTAATTCTTACATTAATCCATATATTTTTAGTAGTCATAATTGACCATATTAATTATTTTAATTAATTACACCTTATATCTAAGGTTTTGGTTGAGATGAAATAGCTCAAGTGGTTAAAGCAGCATATTGAGCCGAAGGTCATAGGTTCAAATCCTACTTGTGACTCTAACTTTTTCATCGCAACCAAAACTTTAGATAAAAAGTGTAATTTTTAAAATAATTAATACAGTCAATTATTACTAACATGTACGGATTAATGAAAATGAAGTTTAAAAGGACAATTAAGAATCTTTGGTGTCAAGTTGAGTGGACAAGAGGTAATCAAAGAGACAGGACTTCTAGGCGGAAAGGGATGGGGCTCAGCAATTGAGTGAGGAAGGAAATTTTATAAGTTGGAGTTATGGATGAGAAAGGAATGACTGAATGCAGTATTTCTGTCAGAAGGGTGAGAAGTGAGCTTGATCGGAGGTACAGAGGATCTGAAAGTGAAGAGATATCATCTGACAAAGAAAGGAGCCAAGGCAGTATTACATGCAGTGTAGGAATAACCACTTTAAGGATGTACAGATCAGTCATGTGGGAGCTCCTTGGGTTCGAGGAATTTATTATTAGTTTAAGCTTATCTTCAAGCCCCCAGTAAGTCCCCTGTACACTACACATCTTTAATCAATATGTAAAAGAATAAGGGAGGAAACTATGAGTTTATGTGTTCTAAATGTGTGAAAATAGCTGATACATCAGAACTGGTGGGGGATACAGGGCTTCCAGGACAAGGTCTGATCAAGGACAATCCCGAGATCTTGACGGTTGAGCAGAAGGCAATATGATCGTTAATTTTAAACAGAGGAATAAGACATAAGGAATGTAGGAAGGAACTGAATCCAAACACAATAGCCTGGAGCTTATCAACACTAAAGTTAAGCCTATGTTCAGCGGCAAATACAATTCGGATGCCTTAACCACTCAGTCACCGCGATCCCCTTTAAGTTAAAATATTTTTAATTTCAAATGTGGTCTGATCATTTCGGTTTGATTATCCTCTTTGGGCAGATCTTTCAAACGTGTTTCAGCATTTTGCCATCTTCAGTGTGTTTAAGTACACGATCAGTAGCAACCAAATTTCAGGTTCATCGCCCCGCTGACAACTTGGAAAAATCTCATAACAAAATAGTTTGACTAGTTTTATTCAAGACTTTTCTTGATTAATTATTATAGCCAAATGACATTAATTGGCAAAAGTAATAAGATAATCCTGTCAGATGTTATTTAAGAGCAAAACAAGTCAATAAGCAAACAATAATTGTTAATCGAATTCCAAAAAAATATTGGATTATTCACCTAAGTTGAATCTTGAATATTCATAATTGAATTCAAATTTCATTACTCATTCTTTTAGAAACAAGACTAATTGAACAACAAAAAATCCGCTCTCAGGTGATTCAAGAAGTGATTTTGTGATGACGTTCTGTGAGGCGATGGACAAAAAGATTTTTAAAATAACACAACTGTTATTGAATAATATTTTTAATTTAACCTTCACAGTAATGAAATTTAATAAACTTTTTTTTAAAAATTGGACAATTACCTGCATTCTATCGACTGGATCGCTTTGTTCAGATGCTATCCTGAGGAGGTGAGCGTACTCCATGTACTCCACCATGCGCTGCAAGAAGCTGAGCGGCTCGTTGAAAACGACCGGCATCGTGATCTTACTTAACTCTTTACCGAGGCTGTTCTTCAGCACGGACCATATGCTGAAGTCATTGCGACAGAACATAGGTACTGGAAGACATTGCCTGAAAATGATTTAAAAACAAACAGGTGAATCCAACTAAATTAATTCTATTTTATAAAGAATTGGATTTATCAAATTTCATTACAAAAAAGTCTTCTGCACAGAACACACTTAATATTCTTGTAAATCCTTTGTTAGAGGAAAATAAATTGTTCAAATGTGTAAAAAAAGAAAAATTTAATTTTTTTTCAAACAATCGTCCATTTTCTGACATTTGATTACTGTTATTCATTTTATATTGTAATTGTGGTTCAGACGCGTTTTTGGAATATGTCATGTGACTTCTCAGACTTAATGAATAAATATATTTACAGGACAGTTACGAAGCACGGTTAATGTAACCGTCTGAACGTGTTAGATAAGAGAACAATGCTTCACGGCCAGGAAAAAAAATCTTTGTTATGAAGAGTACTCTTGTACATTTACCATCCATCACTGTCACTTGCAAGGTAATGGCTGGATTATGTGGTCCATGAAATAATTTCTGACATTTATCACTCTCATTAATTCTTATGGAACAATAATGACAAAATATCCCAAAATTTTAGAAACTATTTCATTACATAAACCTATAACATATCTTTTCAATATAATCTAGTTCTTGAAAAAAAAAAAAAATCCAAAACCAATAAAATATCTCATTTATGTTGAATTATTGCAAATTAACATAATGAATCAGCTCTGGATCCATGTATACTCGTATGGCTTTTGGTGTTACTCAACCACGTTTCAGCTTTGTGTCATCTTCAGTGAGTAACTTGAGAGTAAACAAACCTTGTAAATGACCCACTGCTATGTCAACGTGTCCACAACTCCAGACCAACACCCACTAACATACAAAGTATTACATACTTACAAGTACATTAGAACCAATGATGGTCTGAAATGAAAGGGATCGTGCACACCTGTCTGATGATAAGTCATACCTGCTTAACACACGCTTATGGAGAGAGTGTGTCACACTTGGTCGAGGAGTGCCAGGTCTTGGCCCCTTACATAGAGCGAGTAGGCATGGCACCAGATAAAGTCCTTGGGCATAAAAATATGTTGTTAGGTGCCCTGTACTGATGTTTAACGGGGGTGTTTCTCCATCTTTAGTGTAAATATTGTACATAATGTATGTGTATTTGAATATAGTTGTGTGTCTGTATGAATGAGTAAGTGAGTTGGCAAAATATTGAGCACCCTTCGGCCCTCATTGCATAAAAATTAATTATAAATTATTAAAAATATGTTTTGAGTTCTATGAGATAAGAACACGCTTCGTCAGATCGTCTCAGATCATTCTGGTCTGCCTATTCTGGCTTGTCAGACAAGTTTTGCTATTTCTCCATCAGAGGGTCTGGGATATAAGTAGGTTGAGATAAGGTATGACTTTTATTTAGTGAAGTTTAGTCTGCTTCAAACGTGAATTATACATATTAAAGACACTTTTAAACCTTGGGGCATGTAAGGAATTAGCAGGAAGTCAGACATCATCTAACACATTTTGTCTTTTTGTGCCATTTTTGTGTGCTTCGTCTGTGCGTTATTTCATGAGTCATGTCCTTTTATGCTTATAAAATGGTTTGTGGTGTTTCATAATAGCATTCAATAAAATTAACGTGTTATGTACGTTATGTAGTGTTTTTTTCCAGCTATTTTACCGATATATTTAATTCCCTCAGCGTATACGCTTGTATTTTGAGACCATTAAAAGGGCACAATTGACAAAATAAAACACAGACTAACCAACAAAAACGTAAAAAGCTAGACGGACAAAACAAGCGAGAATAGACGGACGAGGATGACTAGAGACGATCAAGCTAAAAATCAATCGTTTAGTACAAAATCGGCCGGGATTTGATTAATAAATAAGTCCACTGGAAAGGAAATTTATTATTTACATAAATAGTTGGATATGTTTGGAACTCTTCCAGGTTGTTATTGCCTATTGAATAAAGACAAACAATAGAACACAGAACATTACAGCAGACAGATTGTTCAGACCTAAGCACATTGCAATAGCACGTGATTAAATTATAATTTGGGGAGTAAATAGACCTTCTAAGTTACGTATTGTTTAACAACTTTCTGAAGCATTTTGTTTGAAACACTTGCAAAAAATATAAAACTAAAATAATAAAAAATGACCTTATTACGAAAGCTGACAAAAATAACTACCGAGATAATGACAAAAACATACTTCAACCCTAATAACCGACTTGGAAGTCAAAGTGAGGACAGCATGGAAACCGCCTGTCAAGCTCAAAGGACCGTGCGGTTTGATAAAAATTTTTTGAAAAAAGTAGCTTAATCGTCCCAGGTCATCCAGGTCCGCCCAGTCTCGCTGGTTTAGCCATATTGACTCAGACCAACCACGATGTCTCCCTTAATCTGCCTTCTTCTTGGATTTATCAACCTTACAGCAGTCAGCTTGCACACAGTCCTAAGTACAATGGGACCTTTTCCGTTAATGTGCCTCCGCCCCAGTCGACCGCGCTCGTTGACAGAGGTCAAAAAATAAATCAGAACGATATTTTACTTCAAAATTTAAATAATAAGACATTGAGGCACTCTCAACACGACACGCAAGAATGGCACAATTACACAGAAGACAAACACTTTGAGCCCTGAAGATGATCTCAATAAAGATCGAAACGTTGGCACGATAAAGAAAATGTTTTTCTGAAACCTACATCACACCAGACCGCATCTCACTATTTCTGAATAATTATCGATTAACGGTCACTAATGACCACACATTGAGACAAAGGTCGAGTCTCTGAGCTTCCGCTCTTAACCTATCTTATGTTTTGAGTCAAGGTTTATTGTTGTATACCATTGTATTGTATACCAGTTTTCATAGAGTTCGGTGTTAAATAAAAATGAACTTTCTCACATTATACGAGCTGTCACAACCAAGGAAACGGCAGTTCGTTTCCTTCAGGAAAAGGGCGTTCTTCCACTAGCTGTGCGGTGTACAGGAGGGCACGACGAGAGGCTGCATTTGACAGGATCGCGTGACAAGTGGAGGTGCTACAAACGTGGGTGCAAGGTGTTAATGGCGTTAATAAGTAATGCATATCTAACTGGCTCAAGACTGCCATATTCGACCATCGTGCTGTTCATATACGCTTGGACATACGAAATGGTAAGCGTTAAATTTTGTGAAAGAGAGTTAAGTATAAAGTATACAAGTTCGTTGATTGGTGCAACTACATTCACGAAGTCTGTGCGAACTCTATTTTGCGCAGACGTTCGCGCATTGGTGGCCCCAATCGCACTGTGAAAATTAAAGAATCTTACCACAGCAGTGGGTTTTTGGTGGCATTTGCCGCGAAATGAGAGAAAATTTTCTAGTCGCCATTACGGACAGATCAGCCACCACTCCCATCCCCATAATTCGTGATCGGATCACTGCTGATGATCTGTCATCATCTCCGATCAGTGGAAGGCATATGAAACATTATCCCAGGATCCTAGTTTCCGCCATATGTCAATGACTCTCTCAATTTTGTCGACCCGACCACCGGTGCACATACGCAGTACATTGAAAGTGTGTGGGGAAAAGCAAAGGCGAGAAACAAATGACAGTGGGTACCCGGAGTTTATTGGACTCCTATCTATGCCAATTTATGTGGCGGCATCATGTACAGAAAGAAATGTGGATCCTTAGTGAATAGTTAAATTTTGCCCCCCCCCCAGAGACTCAAATGTGATTTCCTTTATTACCAATTTATTCTCTTCAGGGTCAGGAATGACAAAGAGAAATCAAACCTATTTGCAGCCCATTTAGAATCCACATTTACTCCTCATGAAAACATAAGTGGTGCCTCTCACACACAAGATGTAATGGATAACCTTAAAATTCCACTTCCACTTCATCTCCCCCTCAAACCTTTTCATCCTTCTGAAGTAAAATATTACATTCACAAATCCTCAAATAGAAAATCTCCTGGGCATGACCTAATCACCTCCACCATACTCCGATACCTACCACGAAAGGCCAAAGTCTGCTTAACCACCATATATAACGCCATCCTACGAACTACTTATTATCCCCTCTTATGGAAATTTTCCGTCGTTATCCTCATTCCTAAAGGTCATAAACCTCCTGACCAGATATCCTCCTACAGACCCATCAGCCTTCTTCCTACAATGTCCAAAATCCTTGAAAGGCTCTTCTTACGACTAATCCCTATCCTAGATACTTATAATATTATTCCCTTTCACCAATTCGGCTTCCGCCCACATCATTCTACGACCCAATAAGGTTTTAGAGTTGTGGATACCATTTCCTCTGCTCTTGAGAACAAAGAGAATTGCCTGGGTGCGTTCCTAGATGTAGCACAAGCTTTTGACAGGGTGTGGCACCCGGGCATGCTTTATAAACTCAAACGCTACCTACCCACTCCTTATTACCTTATCCTGAAATCCTACCTAACAGACCGCTGCTTCAGAGTGGAGTGCGGTAACGAGTTCTCTGAAATCAGGCCAATACAAGCCGGTGTCCCACAAGGGAGTATCCTTGGTCCTATCCTTTATACCATCTATACTGCTGATCTACCTACTCACCCCAATACCATCATTACCACCTACGCGGATGATACCGCAATTTTGTCCTCTAACTTGAATCCTACCCAAGCTACCTTTAATATCCAAGAACACCTTGAGCTCATCGAAGGTTGGTGCAAAAAGTGGAGGACAAGATTAAACGGAGAAAAGTGCATCCAATGTACGTTCACTTTGAAAAAACAGTCTTGCCCTCCACTATACATCAACAATGAAGAGATACCGACTTCCACTCAAGTCAAATACCTAGGACTATACCTTGACAGCAGACTGACGTGGAATCCCCACACAAGACTTAAAAGACAACAACTCAACAGAAGACTTGGACAATTACGCAGACTACTAGGACAAAAACCCAGGTTGACCATCAGCACTAAACTGACTTTATACAAGACTTTACTGCGACCACTTTGGACATACGGTGTGGGGTTCCACCAAATCATCCAATATCCAGTCCATCCAATCAAAAGTCCTCAGACAAATCGTCAAAGCTCCTTTTTACGTCTCTAACCTCACTATCCACAAAGACCTCAACGTTCCTTTTGTCCACGAACTGATCCATTTCCGATTCCAAAAATTTCATACCAACCTATCGATCCATCCTAACCCTATCGCTAAAGCCCTCTTCACATATTCCCATCCCGAGAATCCACCACGTCGCCTAAAACGACGATGGCCCCGAGACCTCCTTGCCCCTTAATCAATTAAAATGAGTGCCAGCACTGGCTGGCTTCTCATGGCATGCGTCCTCCGGGTGCCGCGCTGGCATCAGTGTTAGTGTGTGACCGAGCGGTGAACAATATACATTGTGATCACATTTGTATTATGTACAAGTATGTATAGGCTACAAATAAATAAATTTAAAAAAATTCTCTTAATTATTATTACACGAATTACCTAAAATAAAATGTTTCAAAATTTATGATTTCCTTTAAAGGAGCTTTTCCTTAAGTGACTGGAGAGAGATCTTAGCGGTCAAGTGGGGCAGGGCACATTAACGGAAAAGGTCCGTACAATGTATCAAATAATTATTAGGGGTGTAAATTTTTACGCAAAATCATAGAAGTATAACTTAAATTTTAAACGTGTTTAAAGGCAACAACGCACAAAGAAAGTGTTGATTCGGTCAGTTGTTCTAACTACTTAATTGGCCAGTACGACTGGCCAACAATCCATTATGCAAGATGCATTATTCCAGATTGACATACTATTTTTTCAACTAGAAATGTATTTATCATTGTTTTTATGAGTTAATTTTAATAATGATTCATCACTCGTAGTTTCTTATCAAAATCCTCATTAAAATTTACAGATTTGATCAGATCAGGCAAGAACAATGTAGATCCTCAATATTTTTTTTATGAGTAACCTTTTCACATAGTTAATTAACAGGAAACGTCTTCAAGATATGAAGCAGGGTGTTTTATAATTGGCAATTTAAGACTTTCCCCTTGATCAATACACATACATAACGCCGTAAATTCAAACGGTTTTGAAGGACGGTAGATTGGGAAGGTCAACCTTGTAATCATCGCTAATCAGTAACACGTGAATGGCAAAAGTTAACAGCAGCGACTCGTGGCACGAAATATATTATAACACACAATACTTCGCAGTGATAACATTTCTTCAAGAAGATGACAAAATGAAAAAGGAATAACTTTTTTCGTGTTAAAGATGTATGCTCTAATTGTGTCAACTAGTAACGCTATCAGAGATGCGATCGTGTTTACACAGTACACGGCGAAAAGAAATAATAAAAGTGTCACGGTTGTAATTAAAACAGACGGAAAGTAAATTCTCAAAACAGGAAAAAAAATTACTGATAGTATATATAAATTAAAACACAAAGCTGGCGAGAAAAGGCCGACCAGGCCAACCGGGAACGAACGACCTAAAACATTGGTAAATGGTAAATTTAACGATAATTGGTAAAACATACTCATCATGGCGAAAATTGAAGATGAAATATTGTCGGATAAACCTGCCATACAAAAAGAAAAGGAGAAAAATAAACTGCTGTAAGTGAGTCAAGGTAGCTCTGTGGATCCATCAGGGTCGGTTCTGGAAGACTATTACTAAAGTGGATAGTTTTAAACTATAATCTTCCAGATAGTTTTGGTTCCAATGCAATTGAGGATGAAGTGTGAAAAGAGATTCATGTTTAGACATTTTATGCGAAAGAGGAGTAGTAGAAGGAGACTGAGACGCGCCAGACCCAGAGGCCATGTGGATGATCTTGTAGTCTACCTTCGTCTTCGGAATCTGGCCCAATTTAAGCTTCGATCGACTCGTTCGTTCCATGAGTCTTTTCTTCTGCCCCTAACCCCAAATCCGAATGGTACCTTCTACGGAAACTCTCCCTCTGTAAGTTATCCCAAGCACATCCAATTTTCCTAGCATCCCCAGATGAGTTCAATGCCAATTTTGTTCAGTCTTCATATCCCCTTGACTTCATAACTCAGTAACCCTCCCTAGCTGTCCCCATACAGCTCCATATTTACAACCATCCTCATGGGTTTTATTTTTTCATCTCGCCCCACATATTAATATATACCATCATGACTATAAAGACCAACGCAATCGATGCAGAATGGACACCAGTAAAATTGATCAAGGTCTGTCTTCAAACCGTCCTTCCTGTACTCCTTTATATTACTTTTCCTTACAAAATTCCTTTTTTCCAAAATAAAAGCAATCTTTGGTCAAGCTCCTAAATAGAGTCTCAAATCCTCCCTCTCCCAATGATTTCCCCCATTTTTATTATCCTCTTGAAAAATTAGTTAATTATCAAATCTCCAATTACTTGGAATCTTCCAACTTACTTGTACTTCTTCAATCTGACATTCAGTTTTCGGCTATTTTAAAAATATCTACTGAAGTTCAGATTGCTATGGATCAAGGTAAAATTATTGTCTTCTTTTTTTAAAAAAAAGCTTTTCACACCACAAACCATTATCTTTTTCTTTCTAAACCAAATTCCTTTTCCTTCTCCTACAGTGTTCTTTGATGGTTTCATTCTTTCCTTTCAGCCCATTCGCAAATAGTACCCATCCCAGATAAGCCCCCTTCTTCTCCTCTCTCCATGATTACTGGTGTTCCTCAAGGCTCAATTTTATCTGTCTCGCTCTTTTGTTGTTATATTAATGCACTTCCTAATATCATTAAATATTGAACTTATCACCTCTTCGCGGATGCCTTCCAAATCTCTGTCTCCATTTCACCTCATAACCTTCAATCTCAATCACACAAATCCAAGAGGACCTAAATGCGATCAGCTCCTGGGCCGTAGAAAATGGACTCTCTTTCAATATCAACAAGTACCAGGTTATAGTGTCCGGATCCCATCTTTTTTTTTTTAACTATTCTACCTTACTTTTTATCCATCTGTCAAAAACCTAGTGATCGTCCTTGATCAAACCCCTATCCTGGAACCAAATTTTCCGCCTCTTCTTCTCCACCCTCTGCCAACTTCATCATGAAAGCCAACTCTTTCCAATCAGCACCCACATACTCCTGGTCTCCTCCTTTGTGCTTCCCCATATCGATTATGGCTGTTTGGTCTACGATGGACTCAAGAGCATCATAAACTGCTTGGTTAGTTTAATATTAAGTTCCCGAAGAGATCTCATGTATCTAATATATATCGTGGTTTGAAATGGCTGTACTTTGTAAATTTATTATCTGTTAACATTTAAGTCTTTTATATAAACCCGCCATTCTCGTTTCCGCCCTTTTGATCGCTACCTTCTCATACAAATCCGCCACTTTTAGTCGCTCATTTCTTATCCGTCCTATCCGTGAAATTCCAAACCTAAACTCTATTCGCCGTGTCTCAACCCTTTACACCTTTATGTCCCGCTTTTTTGACTACCCCCAGTCCCCACAATTAAACATCGAGGATGGTTAATTTTTCTCTTTCTTATTTAATCATTTAGTAAGTTTTACTTATTTTTTAGGCTACTACATTTAAATCTTTATTTATACTTTCAATTAATTATGCTTTTTATGTAAGGTGTTGAGATGAAAAAGTTAGTGTCACGAGTGAGATTCGAACCCATGATCTTCCTCTCATACGCCGCTGCTCTAACCACGGTCAAGAGCTCAAATGGTTAGAGCAGCGGAGCATTGAGCCGGAGGTCGTGGGTTCGAATCACTCTCGTTACACTAACTTTTTCATCTCAACACCTTACATAAAAAGCATAATTAATTGAAAGAAGTAATTTGTTTAATTAGACCACTAAACATAATGACTTGATTTATACATTCATTTAGCCACGAATTGTGCCAAATTGTGTAATTTTTTGTTATTCAAGGGGGTCTAAAGCCTCAGAATAAATTTTTTTCAATAGAATATTTTCTTCTTTTAACAAAAATGGAGAGATGATCCGAGAAAGTCTGCGAAATTATCTTACAATCCTCATGGAAATGGCAATGGAATGGCAGGGGTTGATTGACAGCAAAAGTCTGGACAAGCAAACTGACTGGCCAATAAAAGTAAAATCGCCCTTCATTTAAGATAACTAAATCCTTGTCATCACAGAACTCTAAAAGTTACCTTCTAATTTTTTTTATCCTTTGAGTTGCGGTTCAAGTTGAGATCACCTAAATAGGGCTCCACCTTAGAAGGTAGAGTCTGGAAATGCCCACTCGTATTTAAATCCCAAATAATAATTAAATCGACAATGAGTTGATTTTCAGCACAAAAAATAATTTAATCAACATAAATCCTCATCCCAAGAGGAGGGGCTCAAATAGACCAGTAAAACATCCAACACGCCCCGGTCTGACTGTACAGAAAAATTACAACGCCGAGAAGCATAATCCATTTCCTAAATAAAATTGTTTTTCCTAAATCTTCTTTCTAATACAGATAATGCTTCACGACGGAGACGATTTTCTTCTCTGAATGACTTATTTTCTTCCCGTAGATTGTTAAAGTCCTCTTTTGTAACCATCGGACTTGACGTTTCGTCAAGAATATCATTAATGCAGTAGCCATTGACTTTGTAAGTTCCGACATAGGTAAATGTCCAACTTTAACAGAAATACTGAATCGAATGATCTATAATCATGCCGGAGGCAGAAGTAACTTTTTTGTCCCAGTTTTATTTGTTTCCTGAGCTTCTCGGACGTTTAGACGGTAAATTTTTAGAACTTGAACGTGAACGTTTTAAGAGGCAAAAAGAGGATGGAGAATACTAATTAGTAAGAATAAATAGAGCAATGACCAATTCTTCCTATTCGCTAAATGTCTCTCGTAAACATAAACAAATACAGACCGTGATAGTACCTCTTGTATCAATGCGTTTATCCGACGGATGAGCTGATAAGGCGAGTGAAGGACAGGGAGAACGCGTGAGATTGCAGGTAGATAATCCACTACTTCACAATTCTTATAAAATGTTTTCACTTTAATAAAAGCGATTTAATTATAATTCCAGTTAAGGAGTTATTTTTAAGTTTCCATCGACTAAAAATTATGAGCTATACAAAGCTCTAGATCCATACATTAAGACCTTGCCTCGGTGAAAACAGTAAACATAATTGTAATATTAACAGAAAACTAAAAACCTGCGGAAAAAACCCGCTAAAACAAAGACAATATGTCCACTGTAGCAACACCCAACGAATTCCCAAAACTGTTTTGAAGTCCGCAAGAAAATCCAGGAGAGACCACTGATTAGGTGGGATGAGATGAGACTGGAGAGCAAAATGAAAAGGATGCCGAATCGAGGATCATCCCTGATCTTCTTGCAGAAAATTGAATCCCAAAAGGCATAGATCCTGAAGCCTACACTTGTATATTCCCAAGCAAGGAGTTAAGGAGTTCAAGTTTTTAAGTTTCCCTTGCCTACAAATTAATACCTGCCTCCGACAAAAACGTTTATCCCTGGAATATGTGAACAATATTCTATAAAAAATTAAGGTAGAAATGGTAAGAGTCTATGTTCAAACTGATTTTTTACATTGTTTACTTAAGGTAACAATAAAACAAACACATAAATCTAACGGAATTTTCAATGCTAATTTTATTGATGCAATCAACTTTACAGTACGATTAATATTTTATGAGATAAAGAGTTTTATTAAAAAAAATCGTAAAAAGTTGAAGTAACACTTAAAGTCTTTTTTATCTTGAATAAAATGAGAAACAGACTATGGAAAATAGGGATTTTTAGTCCCATTTGACATGTAGAATCTAAGTGTTGACGTCTGTTCATGGGACACCCTGTATATTGTTCTACTACTTCAATTTAAAAGAAGGGTAAGCTCTCACATTTGCTAGGTCGAAGTGAGGGGATCAGTTTTTTGCCCTTTCCTACTTATAACACAACTCGAATCTGGAGTAACAGTCGGAGGGCCTCAGGGTTCCATTCTAGGCCCCATATTGTCCATAATATTCACGAATGACCTTCACAATTACTTTCCCACAATTCACTTTGCAGCGTATACTGATGGTTGCAGTTTCCAGTTGGATGGACCAAGTGAGATAGAGCTCATCGAAAAAAATATTAAACTGAAATCTAATTAGGAAAAATTCATCTAGTTCATTGAGAATGGTCTATTGTTAAACAAAGAGAAGACAAAGGGATTCTGAAAACTTCTAATTCAAGAAATATTTAGACAATCAACCTCTAAAAACACTTGGGTGTGGTTATAGATCTTGGGATGCACAATGTCAATTTGTAGCATCTAGACTTAGCAAAGAATTATTTTTACTGAGAAGTCTTAAATTTAAAGTATCTCAAACGTTTATTTCTCGTTTCCAATCGTATATTGTTTATGCTTTATTGGTCGGGGTCACACTAATCATGCCAAACTAACCTTCAAAAACAACGTAAAGCTATAAGAATTTTATGGAATTTAAAGTATAGGGAATGTTGTAGAGAAACATTTACTAAATTAAACATTATGACATTGCCAAGCACTCTTACAATGTGTAATGTATTGTTACAAACAAAGAGTTTTAAAAAAAAACCCACTTAATTCTGTACATATACACTATACGAGAAACTGTAATAAAATAGTTCCTGAGGGGCTGAACCTTAAAAGATGTGAAAACTCTTGTAAATATTGGACTATATTTTTTTGGGGGGGGGGGGCGCAACGATTTAGGCTGATCACTGTCAGGTAAAGGCCCCCGGTTCGAATCCAGCGGCCCGATGCTGTTGCGAACCCTCGTAAAAAAAATTAATTATTAACCAGATGATGACAAACTGTTACCTGAGAAAAATTGAAACTTAAAATAACAAAATTCCTGTTAATGCCTTTTATGACTATGAGGAGTTTTTTCATGTATTAATAGCGGGATAAAAATGAATTAATTTGTACTATTCTTGAATGTAATGACAAAACTTGTAATTTGTTTACTTAACACAATAAAACGTTTGTATCTTTGTATAACAGGATGTTATGTTGTTGTTTTAAACAATTTTTATGATTTAAGAAAATTTTAAATTTTTTTACTGAGAATCGTAAATGATTTATTTTTCGGTCTTTTAACTTTTTTATTTCAATATTAATAGCTTTTTTTATATAGGTTATAAAAAGAGTAATTTGAATTGCAGGAGGTAGGCCGTTCGTACTCAGATTACTCGAGAAATCTCCTAATTTAAAAGAACAAGAAGCACTTTTAAGCTAAAAGTGAAGAACGGACCATTTTACCTTGCGAGTCGAATAATTTTTATTATATTAAAATAAAAATGGGGAAAAAATCAAAGTAAGTTATTTTTATTTCTTTCTGGATTGTTTTTCTTTTGTGGTATAAAGTGGGGAAAATTAGGTAGGGTCGGAAGAAAATGTTCCCCGTGGGGTAACTGCCATGTCGACCTGTTGCTTCCCAAATTCCAGATTTCCAATGGTTTATTTATGATTAAATAAAAGAAACTTCTTCATCTTTTATTATTAAAATGGAACAAAGAATGGCTGGAGGAGGGTTATCGCGAGTCCAGTCAGAAGCGATATTAATGGATTTGAGTCAGTGTGAACAGATTGTATATCATTTTTGTTTAATCAGCCTCTTTATAATTTTTAAGTCTTTTCTTTCATGAAAACTTGATATGATCAAAATTATTATTTCTATGTGTTATAATTTACACAAAAATTACCCAAAAGCTACAATTATAAAGTACTGATTACTGACAAAATAAACACAATAAACCAAATGAATGCAGAAAAAATAGGTTGAAGTATTTTTTAAACGAGGATAATCATCCACAGATAAGAACGTGTTATCGTACAAAGACATTTTTCTTTTGTTGTAAGAGCGATATTTCGGTCAATCTATGTTAGAAGGCAAGGTCAGTTTTGCACTTGAGTGGGTGCAAAATTCTAACAAGTGGATTTTGAAGTGTTCATTGCACTATTTTGGTAGTAGATCACCGCTCACTCGATCATTTATTATATCCAGGATTTTTATTTCTACGGAAACAGGAAGTTTATGGAATTACGACATCCTGTTTGCCGTTTTAAAACCATAAAATAATACAGGCATAATTTACCCATTTAAATATTAAAGAAAAGAAGGCGTTTTATAAAAAGCCAACTCACGTGTCCTCTCAGAAACACTGCTGATAATTAAAAAAAACACGCAATCATTTATTTAAACAATTATCTCATCTTGTCGTTCCTACCCGTATAAATCAAATGAGGAAAACGAAAGAAGAAAATTTTTTTTAATGAATTGCAATTCATACGTTACTCTACTAAACACCACATAGCAATAAAAGAAAACAATAAACGAGTTGAACAAAGAAAATGCCTGCAGACCCCTTTATATTTAAAAACGTAAAAAAGGACAGGACTAGCAATATAACACGCAGAACAATCATTGAAGATGGCGAAACGGTTTTGAATATAGACAATGATGATCAAGTTCACCTCACAGACCTGGCAATAATCTTGTAATTGGAAAAAAGAGAAATTACGCTATCACTAAAGAAAGGGAAATGCCGAAATGCGTCTGACTGTTGAAAATAAGCGATAGACCACGATGATAGATAACTATCAAACTATAGCTTTATCATCCCGATCACGGGAGGCATCTCACAATTTAAGTACTTTTTAACTCGATCGTTTTTTCCTAGTCCACCTGTTCTCGGCTTGGTTTGGTCCAACAAGCACTTTTCTGTTGTGTGCTTTAGCATACAGATTTATTACCAAGCAGTTTGCTCTACAATGTTTAAGGCTTAACAAGCTAAAATCTGCTAACTCTTTTCGTCACAAATCGTCTTTGATCGCCTAACCTCGATGGTATAATCGGATAGAGTAGGATATAAGTAGGTTGTAAGTAGGCTCGCCCTGCTTTAAGAAGATTAACACTTAACTAAACATTCACGGTAATAAGTACACTTGATCTTAAAATACATCTATTATATTCAACAACAACTATGTCGAGTACTCCAGTTTCCTTTAAAAATCGGAAAAGGGTATCCGATGACATCATTCTCATAACAGGTGGCATGCCAACTCGCTTTCTATATAGAACCAAGGAATTATATTCTGCCTTCAATTACAGAAGGCATCGAGCAAGCTTTCTCTTCATGCTAGACGCATATGCTGGCAAGAATGTTTTATTACAAGTTAAAAGTAAGGTTAAAATTTATGACAACTTTGAGAATTGTGAGGTATCGATGATCTAGTTCGATTGCGTCTGGACATCCGGGTTTGTCTATCATTTCCGGTTTTGCCTGTCAGAAACATTTTAGGAAGCTTCATTGCTTCGCCCTGCTTATAATCCTGATCAACCACAGTAGAATGACAAAACGCGTCTGGCAGACTGAACCAGTGATATACAGACCGAACAAGTCATTTATACTGCAACAAATAATCTTACAACTTCCATGTGCAATTTATGGTTTATTTAAGGGCAATCGTGTGTCGACTTCTTCTCTGGTTGTTGAAAAAATACATTAATTAGTCTTTATGCTAAAACGCGTCTGGCAGACCGTACCAGCGGAAATATACCGACGGATATGGACCAGCGAGGACATGTTGATATGTTGGGAGACGACCAACAAGGATCATCGTCCAGCAACAAGAATCTCACTACTTTCACAAGAAATTTATGATTCATTCGTGTTTCACCATTTTAATGGCCGGTCAAGGTTATAAGCTGGTTGAGGCAAGGCGCTAGACATGTTATGCTAAAACGCGTCTGGTAGACCAAACCAGTGACGATGTTCAGATCGGTATGATTGGAAACCATCAACCTACAGGTTTATCAACTAACATCAAGGAATCTCATAACTTTCACGAGAAATTTATAGTTTAGTTAGGGTAAATCGTATTACACTGTTTTTTTGTTTTTTTTTTGCCTTATGATCTATGCATATTAGCCATGGTGACGAATTTTTATATGTGTGTTC